TTAAAACAGTGATTGCCTCCGCGGTGATAAGTCAGATGTAGCCTCACAAGTACGCTTTACTGCTATGCCCCATAGCTTCTGCCCTTCTCGACTTTCCATCGTTATGGAGTGCAGTTACATATTGTAACATGTCCTCTAGAAACTTAGCACTGATAATATGAACAGAGAAGTTATTTCTAACAAGGAGGAATTTGTCTCACGATTATTATTGATGGAAGGAAATCAGTTTTGTCTTATTTAAGATTTCTTTCAGTCATTTATCAGGAGTGGCTGAAGAAAATCGCAAATGGGTTTGCGATTGCCGGTAGTCAGTTGATTTAAACTAAGTATCGATTGGTTACAGACCATTAATTTTGTCTGTTAGCCGTTTCTGTATGTCAGTATGTTCGACATTGATTGCTTCTCCAATTATTTAACAATGCTTTTTCGTCTGCGTTTAGTAGTCTTATGACTCACGATTAAGTCTGAAATGGCGCAGAACGAATTACCTGTGACATATTTGAAATATACTTCACATCGCCATATATATGTCTAGAGGTACTGAAAAACCACGAAGTACCTCATGAAACATCGTTTCCGGGCCAACACTCGAGCCTCTGACTCCACGAATACGAAGTAGATGTGATGTGTTCTTGCACCGAGCGGATTTGTGTGCTGATAACGCTGTAGACTTGTGTTCGGGAGGTGCTTGTTTCGAAATTCTACCGGTTGAGTTTAAGGTTTTTCGACGGTTTTCTACAGTCCCTCCATGCAAATTCTGGGATAATGCCTTCACCAGACCACGCCTGATTTATGGCACACACTGGCATTCCCTCACAGTAGCCGAGGAAGACCTCAAGAAGTGGAAGAAGCGGGATGCGCTGTCTCAATTTTGAACCAAGAAAGTTAACTTATCCCATTATACTGCGCCCCGTTCCACACTTTACAAGCCTCTTTGGTGGACAGGCAAGCTGACAGTGGAACACGCGTCAAGTTGGGCCCTCCAGTAGTGGCAGCTGCTGATGAACCTCGCTGCCCGTCCATGTAACAGATTGTAGGCAACAAATGTATGTCTGTAAACTAATGCATCTGGACATTTATTTGCGATAAGGGGGCAACACTGTCTTGCCTAATTGAAAACTATGAGATCATGAATAATTGATCTAATAATTATTATTAATGCAGTAGTTACGACTATTGCGTATAGATTTTCGGCGAGGAACCTTCTCGACAACATTTACGCGGGAGACCGGAAGGGATAATATTAAGATGGAACTTAGAGAGGTGCAATGCAGGACTTAGGTATTAGCGTTGTTGCTTTTTCGGGTTCTGTTGCCGCAATGTTAATTTTGTACTATTTTAAGCTTTCACGGTATCCGAAAAATGAAGTCTTCTCGAGCGATTAGCCGTGTCAATGTGAAGTATGTGTCCGACATTTGAGAGACAGTCTCAGGCTCTGTCGTCAGGGTTCATGTGATGTGTGTTATGATCGCACGCTGTATTTACACACAAAAGTTCTTTCATGGTGTTCGGACTAGGACTGTCGATAGTTTTGTGTATAAATGTAGCATGCGAACCCCACACTCATCACAGGAACCCCCGATGATGGAGACAGAGACAGTCTCTTAAACGTCGGACACACATTTCACATGGACAAGGTTGCTCGCTGGAGAAAAGTGTTTTTTTTTTCTGTTATTTACGTTCTTAGGTGTTCTACACGCTATATATGAATGAACATTGTGTGGTGAAGTTATATCTTTCTGTTTTATATACTTGTACAAGGGTTGGATAAAAAATAGTGGCAACACTGCTGTAACATGAAAGATGTGCGTCAGGTGGCACTAGCGCCGTCTGTAGCTGATAGCAGAAGTTCAGTTGAAGTAGTGCAGTGAGTGGCTCTGGTTGTGTTCCATTGAGTTGCATCGTGCATCGTCTTGAAGTGCAGGAGCCCAGTTCAAGCACCCTAACAACATGTTCACGAAACAAGAACAACGCTCCTGGATAAAAATTGAATTTGCACGAGATCGTAGTGCACAAAACTCTTATTCTTTTAATTGGTCCAGTATATTTACTGCTTTATGTTAAATTACATCGTCAGTCAATACACGATGCTTCGACCTAAACTAGCGGTATCATCCACTGAGAATTCAACGGGAAATGTAATCATTTGTTATAACAGTTTTCATTATTAACTTCCCATGCTTTCTCCTTTATTTTGTTCAGGATCTACATGTTACCGATGATGTGTCGAGGTCGAAATTTAACATCACCTCCCACGAATAACACGCAAAAATTAGTAATCGTAAACCGTCTCCTTTTATAGTATACAGGCTTCACACTTATCACATCAAAATATCAACAATACTTAGAAACAAGGCTGCTCGCTCGTTCGTGGCTGCGTATTTATTCTATCGGTAGATAGATCTACCAACGGTAGTATCTCTGCCATTTTAATGAATAATACTTATTATGAGTTCGTCTTCAAAGATATGTTCTGTGTTTTTCCCACAATTGGATGTTATGACTGGACTGAGAGGGTAAGCGAAGTGGAACGTGTATAACGCGCATGCGTATAGTTATTCACGTGTGACACTCAGATGTAGTTGCCCCACTATGAATGGCACCAAGTAATTTGCTTGTGGCCTCGTCAAACATTGTTGCTGTGTGAGCTTTCTTAAGAGGAGGAACGGGCTAGGTTCGAGCAGGTCGGAGGGAGGGGTGCCAAGCTTCATCTTAACGCAATTACACGGGCGCAACCTCAGCAGCATCAGCCTAAGAGCGAGGAAATTTGATTTTGTAGCGAATGAAGTAGCAACAGGCAAAATCGCAGCAGCAGCCTTCTCACTCTCTCTGTCTTGCGAAATATAATTACGCCTAGTACTTTGGACTACAAGAACCATAAAGTTTGGTTGAGGGACCGTGGAAGACTAGTAACACGCACTTCGCGAAAATATATGCAGGAAATAGCTCACAGAACTGAGTGTTTGAGTCATAGCATGATATGCGTACGGCTTCTTAAAGCGGTGGTTATGCAGGGTCCAATATTCTGCAATGTTAACGCCGTGTAGTCATCTGAAGTTTCGGAGGAATATGTTACCACCGTTTTCAGGGTCGAAGAATAAGCCAAGCAAGAAACCGGTGTACAACAGCTAGCAACATCTGAGTAATATACTTAAATATATATTTTATAATTGTATTGACCAAGTATTTCTGTAGCGATTACGACTTCAGTACACGATTCTTCCTCAGCAAACGGAGAGCTACAGGAGGGCAAAACGCAGGAGCATAATGAAACTTGGACATGCTTGTACAGCAGGAAACTAGCGACAGGCTATTTAAAGTGGAAGCAGACATATATTATCAATTAATAAAAATGGTTCTCTCAGTTTCTCAGCATGACTGAAATAACCGATCACAATACTCAGGTCCCCGGGCGCGTTGCACAGAGTATAATCACCTAGTGTCGTCATGTAGAGCGTCTCCTGTGCAGTAACACTGTAGTAACCGTGATATTAACAAATTCTCCTTCAGCATACGAAGGTCATATTACAAATCCAGTCATCGAAAGCGCTTCCGCATAGGAGCGGGGTTTTACTAAGAGACCTCTGAAAACGCGAAGAGCCATGTGAATATTACATTACGAAATCCAAGAATTAGATCCATGTAAACACTAACGGTCGCTCGATTGGTTAATAGATTCCCAGCTCTTCACGAACCCGAAAGATTATTACCATGTAAGATTTGAGATAGTGACGAAGCGTACTATAGTCTGCTCGCTCTCTGTTCTCACTCTGATTTCTTGCTCGGCTCATTCTACAACCCTGAAAATAGAGATGCTGATCCTCTGAAACGTCGGTTGGCTTTCGACGGACTACACAGTGTTATATCCCAGAAAGTAGCACTTGACTATCACCATGTTCACAAGAACCCGTCATTTGCCCATATCCTGAACCAGATGAATCCAGTTCAGGAATTTTTACCATGTTTCTGCGAGATCCATTTCATACCCTCTCATCTGTCCCTGTAATTTCGTACTAATTTTTTTCTTTTCGCGTTTTATAACCAAGGTATTTATAAAATTTTCATCTACATCTTCGTTTCTCCTATCTCGTCCTCCTGAACTACATCGTCATAATAACATTTAGTGAAGAGCAAATATTGATAGGAACCAGATGAGGGCTCTTGTGAACACGGTAATGAACCTTCGGGTTCCATAAAATGCTGGAAAGTTCTTGAGTAGCTGCACAACTGGCGGCTTCTCGAGAAGTGGTCAGCTCCATGAGTGAGAAAAAGCGAGTGAAAAGCAAATATTATGAATATATTATTCGAAGTTATTATTAGGATAGCGCTATCCAATATTGAGAAGATTAGGGCCGGATATAGGCCTAAAACGAATAATCGCACATTTACCCCTCATTATTTATTTTTAATGCCGTGTTACGAAGGTTTACTTGAACGTTAATAATATACATACTTAATATTAAAATAAATTAAATTGAATTCGCTCTAAAGTGAATACTTTCGAAGGCATGATCCCTCATGGAAATTAAATTCCCACCGTATCCACCATATACTTTTAAATATATATGAAAATGTTTGGGCTCAAGTGTAAGGTATGTGACAATCATTTCAAATTCTCGAGTAGTTTCAATTCCCTAATGCTGCACTTTTGATAAAATATAATTTTTTTTAGTACTCTTACCTTTGCAATGATGCATTCATATGCGCCATAATGTATTTTCCTGGAAATAGTTTTACATTAAGGCCAGTGAGATATGTCAAATCCGAAAGTATTTATTAGGAAACACGCATATAAGCAGCCTACGCCGTTTGTAGGGGAAGTGGAGAGACTATTATCCGCCTTCAGTATTCGGCCAGACGGTAGTTGCAGCCCGAACAGATTATGTTCATTACATATTTTGTCATATTAAATGTTTTAAGTAACCTTTGACTATTTGAGAATGTATTTAAACTCGAAAAGCCGACAGAGGAGAAACTGAATTCGCGCAGGGATCCTAACGACCCTAACGCTAGCGTCCCGGCGCCGCGCATCTAGATGGGCAGTAGCACGGTTTCACTTCACTCTCTTCCATAGTGGAAACACGATATGGCAGCTTTGTCGTGGACTGGACCTACGATTAGAGTTCGCGTCAGCCGCTGCAGGTAGTGAGACACGACAGAACTTCCGTGTCAATTTGATGTTAAGTAAAGGAAGCGCATATTTCTTGGCCGTTCACATTTATTGTGAATGCCACTGGAGAGAGGATTTCAGTGTATTTAATTCGAATTACTTCGGTAAGTTGAATGTACATGTTGTATAACTTATTAAGCCCGTAATATATATATAATTCCTTTCAGGAAGAACTTTGTTCGATTCCGAAAACTGTTACGTGACTTTATATTGTTCAATTTCAAGAATCCAATTGCTACAGTCATGACCCTGACTTCCTTAATGAAGGTCTCTGTGTGGATTCCAGTGTTAAATTGTGCAAGTATCTTTCACTTCTCATGCTTTTCTTCATTTTTATAGCTTTACATACCAATAGTTTCGTATTGTTTAAAGTATCGCTAGAAGGTATCTGATTCGAAACTGGTTACACTGATATATATTTCGCGGCTTTTCTTTATTTCTTTAGATTAAATTCTTTTAACAATTTTGTGGAGATGGTAAATGGAGAAGTGAGACGTAACGTAAACAGTACGTCATGTATGTATGAACGTAGGAGAAGGATAACAGGCGTACGGGGTATATTTTTTCTCTTCTAATTTATGGGGCTTTAAAAATTATTAGCCAAATACTGACGCTTGTTTCACAGAATTTTAACCAATAATCAATACATTCCTGTCAACAACCAAGGAATTAATTTTTATCGACAGTTTGTGTTTATATACCTTGCTAGAGATTGGCCAGACGAGTTTTGATCAAGCGTAAAATCAAATATTTACAATTCTGATTTGTTTAACTTTTAGGGCACTAAACTAATTTGATTTATGCTTTGTATAATGGAAATATTTGCCAAGCAGTAAGAGCGAAATAAATTGTAGGTGAAAGTATGTGGGCACTTGAGGACCTACGTATTCGGAGAGAGCTTGTGCCCCAGTCTAGTTAGTATAATACAGCAGCAAGCACGGCATAAATTTGTTTCTGTTTAGAAACTCTATCTTAATATAATTTCTAGAATCTAGAAAGCGTCTATTTTCGGCTAGAGACATTTAAGTTAAGTAAAATCCTTTCGTTCTTGCCACAGCTCCCCGCATTTTTCTGTTCTTCGACAAGGATTGGGTGCTATTCAGCACATTCGGAAGTCAAATTTGTGCCATTTGGCTTTCTTGTTTAGGCCTGCCATTTTCCTCCAGTATAATAAGAGCATACGAATGCTATTTTATGGGTCCTGTCTCCTTTTAATGTTTCTGAATGTCTCCAATTCAACTGATCATTTTTCGCGGTAACGTAGTTGGTTGAGACACTCTTCTACAAGCAGGGAGGTCGTGGTTTCGATTCCCGATGAGATAGTTAGATTTCGTAACTGATCTAATCTTTCTAGTAGCAATGCGGCCCTTTGGTAGACTCAGCCTCTTAACAGAAATGACTACCAGAAATCCTCCTGAGGGTAAAGGGCGGCCAGCGCATAACGCTGACATCCTCACCGTCATCTGTGAGGCAATTGTCTGGAAAATGTAGGCGCCTCGACGTCTCACAACCTTATGGGCCTTCATGGCCTGTTAACAGAGAAACTTTACCATTTATTATGTACAAAATATATTATTTACTTTTAATTCTCTCTATGAAAAGCATTTTAGAAGATATCTTCCGTACTCTTTATATTCTTTTGCTATTCTTTATCTCGTCTTCCATTTCATTAATATATATTGCGAAAGAAACCTTAGTGCCAAGCTTAAGAAAGTTGCTATCTCTTGAAACTCTTATAATCAGGCTGACATGCAAATATTCAGGTGTCAGAATTACGGTTGGCGTGACATAAAATTATATTTTTCCCTTCTATGCCGTTGGTTTATGGAAGTTATGTGAATGTTATAAAGAAACATACAGTGTAAAATAATGTAATTTTGTACGAAAATAAATTGTTCGCTTAAAGGCCATAACATTAAATGTAGGGATTTGAAAAAACGGTATTGTAGAATGACTTTATTTAAAGCAATGATGCTGGTTGCCAGTCGTCATTTAGGAATTAATAATTTTGCTGTTTTCTTTGTTTAGATTTTAAAATTTTCAGCATAAAAACATTAAAATGCCTCTCGTGAAACACCATCCTAGCTTGTGTGTACGAAATAGCGGCTCTGAAATATGAGCTGCATGCGAAATAATTCGACTGTGTAAAGGTGAACTACGTGTTACCAGGTAAAGCCTATCGCAATTCCCTCTTTAAAGACAACAAAAAGGGAATTATTTTATTTTTAGAACACACAATAATTCCAAAAAGTTGCTGACTGGACAAGTATGCGCCATAAATATCTCTTGTCGGTTTCTGCAATTGCTTTCCGAATCCAGAATCCAAATACGTAATTTATTTGCGAAGTGCTATGAAGGGGAGAGCAGAACTATTTATTGAAGTAAAATGTCTTTCTTGTTTACAATATTATATTTAAGCATCCTGTTGCACTCTACACGATAAATAACAATGTAACGAAGAACGATAACAAATAAATAATAATGTGTTTTTTAAATGTTAAATTTTAGACTGGGTTCAGTGTGGCAGTAACGTAAGAGTATACACCTGATGATGGCCGTTGGAGGCCGAAACATGTAGTGTTGAAGAGAACAAGATCAAGGACATATAATATATATTGTTTGCACTTGGGACGGATTTTGTATCATTTATCGTCTTTCTTGTATCTGGCTGACTGAAGTATAGTAAATAATATATCCCCTTCTGCACTATAGTATGACCAACTAGGTATAAATAAAATTAACCAATTCCGTGGAGCCGAGACCTCAACGGCACCAGTTTTTTTATTGCTAGTGAGGTGGAACTAAGTCCCCTTGTACTGCGGCCATTTCTGGCCTATTGTACGAGCCCCAGATGATAGGTGACGGTGATTGTGGAGCAATTGGTGGAATGGAGATTAGCAGGGGAAACCGAAGTACTCGGAGAAAACCTGCCCCAGAGCCCACAAATGCCACTTGACCAGACCCGGGATCGAACCCGGGCCGCCGCGGTGGAAAGACAGCGACTAACCGCTTGAGCTATGGCGCGGCCTTCCATGGAGCCGAGACCTCAACGACTCCAGCTTCTCAGTTACTCAAGAATTTCTCAACAATTTTATTGAAATTGAAGGTTCATTACGGCGTTCACAAGAGCTCTCCACTTATCACTATCCTGAACCAGATGAATCCAGTCTATTTCACCCCATCCTGTTTCTCCAAGATCCATTTTATTATTATCCTCCCACTTAGTGTAAGTCTTCATAGTAGTCTATATCCAGCTGGCTTTCCCCCTAAATCCCTGTATGGATTCATCTTCTCCCCATGCGTGCTACATTCCCTGTCCATTTTATCCTCCTTGTCCCGACGTGGATGAGAAGGTGACGTTGAAAGCCCGTCAGTGCTGATATTAGTAGAATTCAGAGATTCAGGTTAGGGTTCAATGGCTAGGTTTGTGGCCGCATTCATGAGCTTTCGGTTAACACTCTGCAGTAGGGGCTTCCTCAAGTTTCGTAAGATGCAGTACTTCGAATCTGAGAGGAAAATCTTCGCCAGAAGATTTGAAGAGATATTCTAGTGATGAAGTTTTCTGAATCGCCCGCCCTGCTTCTATTTCAGTGTGCGTGACGGTGAGGTTTATTGCCCAAGAGCTGTAAACTACGCCGTTACTCAGTCTGATCTAGAGATTCGCTTACTTTACGAGAGTTCGGCTGGATCTTACAGTGTGCATCAGAGTGCAGGGGATAGGGGGCAACTGTCTGGAACGAACACGTTTAGTCCAAAGAAAGACGAGACAGCTTATTGACAGAGGTCACTGACAGTTTGAGAACGCCTATTGTATATAATGTTATAATCGAATGGGACAAAATGAGAAACAGATGTTTCAATAGGTTGCACAGTCCTGTGTTCAGACCTAGTCTGTTTTGAAAGTGCAACCGGAAATCTATGTGAATATTCTATAAATGAACTGTTACAAATTATGCTGTGTTGGTGACACAGTACTTAACAATCTGACAAGACATGGGATATTTCTATGAGTATCAGAAATGTTTGTAGTCGATGTTTTAATGTGCTGGAAGTTAACTTACAATTAAATACTACAACGAATTATTTTTAATACTATACATTAAAATGTTGAAAGTTGATACCGACCGTAGAATTAAACAAAATTTGTAGAAATAACTACGGATGTCCAAGAAAGTGAGTCCTTTTTGAGACGATCATATTCACCCAGTCAAGTCTAATATTTCCATATTTTATTTCGATTGAAAGTTGCCATCCTGCCACGTGTACTGTAGCGTAGATAATTTTGACCTCGAAATCGACGCTTCAGTATTCAGGTGTTGCTCCCGCGGTTTCTTTGTACCCAGCTTTCCTGTCCACTAAAGAAGAATTACATTTCGGGTAACAACGTAACGTAATGGTTTTTGGCGACAGAGGAACGACTCCGCTGTAGAAGCAATAACGCTCCTTCCTAAGGCTTCCGGCTGTATTCCGTGCTTGGAGCCTTTTATCCTTACTACTAGGTCCATCTAGATATTAAATAGTTTGGAACGCCACTCATTTTTAAGCGAACATTCTCGAGTGGGAAACCCGGAGTATGATTACAGCCTCCCGTCAGCTTCTGATAATATCTTTAGTTGGTCAGTATATTTAATGTAAATTGTCCCTGTACTTAATTAAGCATCACGCCAAGAAGACGTGTGAGGAAATTTATGTATAGCGCCACCATTCTTGACCTAGGCTGTAGATGGAGGTGAGTGGTAAGTTTCACGCCCCTACCGCTTTACCCACACGGGAAACAGTTCCCGGTACCCACTGCGTAGGAGGCTGGGTGAGCTTCCAACCCCTATGGACCGTATGGAAATGAGAGGAATGTTTTACCCCTGCCAGAAGTTGAACTCCGGCCGTCCAGCCCATAGCCCGTCTCTATGCCGTCTCAGCTATCCCAGCTCCTGCCAGTATATTTGCTAGAAACCCTGTCACCGTGAAAACGAAATCCCGCCATTGTTAACAAACCTGAGTGAGAATAATTTGAGTCATATCTCCACCAACTGCCCTCTTATGCACGTCCATTTTCTCGAGTACTTTTTACATATCTATTTTTTGTACTCCAAAACGCTTTCGTAAG